TCTGTATCTTTAAAATTTACACTTAATCTATTAATAAAGTTTATTGGAGCAAGACTCCATTGGATATAAAAAAAAAAAAAAAAAAAAATGTGGTGTTAATTCTTACCAAGAGTAAAAGGTGATCATTGCGATAAGTCAACAAATCGATTTATTAAATAAAGAAAAATCTCAACCTCATGAATAAATCAATCGTTTGATGTCTCAATTGAATGAAATCACGAACATGAAAATTCTAATGTTTACGAAGAGAAAAGAATTATCGAAGATTAATTGGAAGAAGAAAGAAAGTTAAAAAAAAATTCTTTAAAAGAAAGACAACAACTTGAACATTGAATGGAAGAACTGATGGCTACTACCAAGAAAAGTAATTTTTATTATTATTATTATTATTATTATGTCTATAAGCATACCCTCGGGCCAAGAAATTCCTATGCATTTAAACAGGTTATGCTTGTATACGTTGAGACTTATATATTATATATAAATCTTGTGAACTTGGGGCAAAAAATTATATACTTAAAGACAGGTTATGCTTATACACGTATGATTATAGACAAGATTCTACTGTATTATGATTGTACTAATCATTTATTATTATTTTTTTATTTATTATTTTTTTTTTAATCAAAATTTTTAATTATTTATTTTAGAGAATCATTCCTTGATCCTCTTATGAAAACTTTAATAAAGATAGAGAGAAGTGAAGATAAAGATAGTATAGTCAACTCTCGATAAAAGAAACTTTGTTTTTGTGAAACTGAGTTTCTTTTAGAGTTTTATAAGTGAAAATTTTGTCAGTAAAATTATCGTTAAAAATTATAGATTTATATAATATCATCTAGGGCAAGAATTGAAAACATATTTATAACAACTAGTGAAAGGGAACAGTGTTTGAAATTCAATGTGCGGAATGTGCGCTAGCACAAAATTTGAAAACTCCACACATAAAAAAAAGGCATCAGAACAAATTTTGCTTATAAAATTCTAAATTGTGTATATTCCGCACAGGATTTAAAATTTGAATTTAAAACACTTCTGGTAATTGTTATTTGTGTATTATGCGGAATAAGTTTGAATTTATGTTTTTATTTTACTTTAATAAATAACGAGTGGGCTGGTTGTTTCGTGACTGGCAGCCATAATAAGGACAACCAATAACTTTATTATTGTAAGTATATTAGGAATATCATATATGAACGATAGACTAATTGAAAATTTCTTAAAATTAGATGAATTTTATAAGTTTAAAGTAAAATAAGAAAAATCATATAAAGCTCTCGGTTTATATATTAATTTTGATCATGATTTCACCATCTATTTTGATTATTTTTATATAATTATATAATTTTAAAATTCATTAATAAATAAAATATTCAATAAAAAATCATTATAACCTTAACTGAATTGTGATAAATAAAATATAATGACAAGAATATTAAAATATAAAAAATATATGCTAAAGCTCACCAGTGGTGATCATATTTAAACCGAAAATAACCGGTTCGGTTTCGGTTGTTACTGCTGAACCGAACTGTACCGTTGAGAGCTTTAATAATTACCAATCTACAAATATATTTTTGATGGTTACTTTTCAATTAACTTACATGAAAAGAATGTAATTCTGAAAATATAAGTTTATCAGTTCAATAAGTTAATATATTAATTGTATTTAAAAATGGTAGTATTAAAAACAATTGGATTCTCTTAAATAAATCACTTTGAGTTTAAAGAACTTTTAAACTTTAAACATTTGGTTTGTATGTTTCAAATTAATCAAATATTGCTAGATTCAAATCTCAATTTACTAACGAACAGTTAGTATTTTTTTGATATAAAATTAACTCACGTGCAAAAATCAGGTTACGAAGACTTGAAATCTTTAAGCATTGGTTCATCGACATTATAAGTTATAAACCTGAACCTGTAATTAACTGTATAGCCTGATAATAATGGCATTAAATCTAAATTCTCACCCGTAAAAATCTCGAAAGATTCATTATCATCAAATTGTCCTTGCGAACAGGACTCCATTTTTTGCGTGATGATAAAAGCAAAAGGAAATCTCTAGAATTTTGTTTTGAATAGAAATTTGTCGGACTTTCAAACTAAGTGATTATATATAGGTATGGCTGCGACAGTAATATTCACCTTTGGCGTGGATCTGCAAAATTAATAGTCAAATGGGGTAAAATATTCGATTTTTTTGGTAGGACATCGTAAACTGATCTTTGTTAGTGAATAACATACCTTAAGTAGCATCCTCGAAATATCTAACACATAACGCACCTGGTATTGATGTTACAACTAGCATTGTAACTGTTTCATATACTGTTGTAAATTATATGATTAAACGGAAAATGCACCAATTGTGGGAGTAAGTAAAGATTTGAACAATCATTGCTTATATGCATATGAATCACTAACTCCTTGTTTGAACCTAGCGCATTGACAATTCTTGATAAACGTATAACTAATACAGAGAAAACGTCTTGATAATATGGAGAAGCGTCTTGACAGCCAATTTAAAGAATGTATTATAAGGATTGAGGATCGTTATGCAAAATTTGAAGAACGACTAGAACGAACCTCTCCCCTCCCCCTCCCCCCTCTTTGGCAACCTACATCACATAATCAACATAATCATTAAAGAGTAGATAATTCCATTTATTTTATTTTTCTGTGATGATAACAATACAAATACATATTAAATTCTAGTTATATAAACAAGGTATCTGGAAACGCTCGATGTATTTTATTATTTAACTCTAATTAGAAATAATACAAAATGTATGATTAATAGCAAAATCATCTAAGTCATCTAATAATCTAATTTTTAATAATGTGTAAGATATAAAATATATTAATAATATATTAATGTAAAATGTAATTACTTTTGAGATTGATGGGGTTTTGGCCATCAGTTCCTGAGGTTATACTTAGGCAACGATGAGTCGGACCGTAAAATTTTATTTTTAGTCAGTTTCAATAAATGTAAAATAAATTATCTGTATCTTTAAAATTTACACTTAATCTATTAATAAAGTTTATTGGAGCAAGACTCCGTTGGATAAAAAAAAAATACTTTTGAGATAAAAAAAAAAATAAATATCTGTAAATATGGCTTTGGAATTATTTAAATTTTTTATTATTTTGGTAAGATAACTGTATTCTTTACTAAAGGTTCTAGTGGTGCCCTAGTAGATGACATGGTATAAGGTGTTGGTGTTGACGAGATTTTTGCTAATGAAGCTACTGCGGATATCGATGGTCTTCTAGGTTGTGGTGGTCTTGGGCCATCTAAAATGCTTCTACGAGTGATACCGTATTAATATTGCTTGAACTTATTACGGGTGCTAAAATAATAGTCCATAAGGTTCTATTTTGTGAGATTTTATGCCAATGTTGTTGAGAACAAAATTTAAAATTTAAATAGAAAATTGTATTTGTCAATACTTTACCTTTAAAATCGTGGCTTTTATCATCGCCTTCATCCATCCTCTCATCTTTTCAACATCTTCATGTGCAAAATAATGCGTTCGCGTTGAATTATGAGTCAATTTAAATCCATATTTCCATGTAATCAGGAATTATACGATATCCCGTAAGATCTATGTGTCCTTTAACTTTTGGACTATTTACAATCTATAACACATAAAGCACATATAAAACACAATGCAAATCCAACTTTCATGTTATATGACTAACTTTATATGTCTTGAAATAATAAAAATCTGCGCCTTTCAAGGATGCAATAACGTGACTTCCATGTCTTATACTAAGATAGGAATGTAAATTATTTTTTAAGGTATCTAAGATATTCATGATTAAGATCTCCCACTTTACAATATTGCTACTTGTTAAATAATTATTATAACTCAAATTTTGTAGGTATATTTGACATGACTCGGAACGCGCGCAACTGGTGAAATTACTCTTTCACTACGCTATTGATTAATTATTATTAAAGAAAATTTTAGATTAATTTTCTAAATAGATTAAAAATGCCGTAAAAACAATCATAATAATAATCATAATAATAATTTTACCATTTCTACATTTGACACATTATCATCCGGTCCTGGTTCCTCAGTTATAGAAAATTGGGATTTTCAATTCATTTATTGCATTCATTAGATGCATTCTCTTCCCAAAAAAATTAATATTGAACTCTCTAAGTGCATATAAATCAAGTTGTAAAAGGACATCACCCGTGATATCATTTTCTAATAACATGGTTATTTTAATTATTTCATGTGTTAATAATAGTTAATGACAAAATATACATCTAAAAAAAAAAATACAATAATTACCAATAAAATTAGTTATTTCATTTTGAAACCCCTTTTTCTTCCAACCAAGAGTAAGATTAGTTTAAATATTACGTTGATTGCAGATCTTGACCATTATTCATGTGATTTGCTCATATTTTACTTTTGTTATTAAAAGTGGAGGGGAACTATAAAAGATCATTCATTCATTCAATAATGTAATTAATAATTTTGAAGATAGTTTTATTACATTAATTAGTTTATTTTACTCAAATAAGTAAATTCATAACGACAATATTATTTCTATATAAAATTTAAAGTTTCCTAACAATAACAAATAAAATGAAAAAAAAAGAAAATAATTCGTAACTATTTACGCTTTATCTAATTTTATATTACTTTTTAGTAATTTTGATTATTCTTTTTTTTAAAGCGTTCTATTTTTCTATATAACTTTCTATTATAATCTATTATTACGTAATTAATCAACATTGTACTGATCATATAATCTATGAGCACCTGCTTCAGCTGATAATACAATAATTGTAGGATCTATATTAGGTAATGGAAACATTTGTAACAAAAGCAATACTTCTTGAGCTGCCGTTTCTCGTATTTTATTCACTTCATGAGAATAATGATTTTCATTTTGTAAACTATCAGAATTAAAGCTTAAAGGTGGTGAACTTGATCTAGAATCATGTTGTTGAACCGCCTAATTCGAGAGAAAGTGAGAGAGTAGAGTAAGAAATTTAAGTGAGGAAAGTGAAAAAAGTGAAAGTGAAAGAATGTATTAATAAACGTTTGTGAAAAAGAATAAATGAAATGAAATTTACTTTAAAAGCGGCTGCACCGGCGATTTTTGCGGGAGAAACAATAACTTGTGGGTTTGGACCACATAAATACATTTCCTTATAATATTTTTCCATTTGTTCTATAAATAATTTAAAGTATAAATAATTAAAGAATTAATAATTAAAGAATAAACAGTTAAAGATATTATTACCTGTATCTGAACCAAAAGCTCCTGGCACGTATGCTTTAAATCCTCGAATGTTATGACCATAGGCAGTCGCACTACTTTCTAAAGGTGCCGAAAACATGTTGTCTTTTTAAAAAAGAAGAAAAAAAAGAATTTTATAATTTTTTTCAAGAATACAAAAATACAATTTTTTTTTATTATTAGTATATCTTTTTATCCGTTTTATCTTTTATTTTTTTGCTATCAGTTGCTGTTGTGATTATTAATAACTTGCTTACATGTTTATTCGTTTTTCCTGAATCACACAACAATAATTAATAATAAATCACAATAATGAAAAAAATTATTCATATCATGATTATTAGTTTAAAATATCTAAAATTAGTAATTTGATTTTTACCTTTTTAATTTCTAATTTATGCATTATTTTCTATACGATATATGTCAAAATATATGCCAGTATTTTTTTATTGACGTTTTTAGCTTAAAAATTTAAAATATTCCCACGAAAATTTATAAAATTAACAAAACATGCATGTGTAAGTATTATTTTAGATTACACAAATTAAATTTAAAAATAATATTTATATAAATGAAAATATAATTATCTTTTATTTTATTTATTTATTTAGAATGCGCATTAAAAATTATATAAACGTAAAACCTGTCATTGATTTATTTAAAGTTGAAACAATCACGTGTATAGCTGGCATCATCATAAGAGTTTCCTACAAGAGAAAAACAAGATTCATAAGATTTGTGTATTTTATATTCTTTTTTTTTTTAACTTTTTTATGAAATTTTATTGTTATTTATTTTTTGATACTATTATTATTATTTATTTTAAAATAATAATTTATTTATTTTTGGTTATTTAATGATTTTAATATAATAATGATTTTCATGGGAAAAATTTTTTTATAAAAGAAAAATTAAAATTAAGGGGTGATTTATGTATTTCTAAATTAAGTTTTATACAAAAATAAATGAAATAATTATTTAGTCATTTATTAAATAAACAAAACCATATCGTCTATGAAGAATTGTTTAATGGATAAAATTTTGATGGAACAAACAATACAAATACACTGATCGCAATGAGATATATTTTGGTAATCATTGAATGATTGAATAAATAATTTCTGAATATAATTCAAAGAAAATATATCAAATATCAAGCATCAAAAAATGAATCAAAGGAATAAAGGAACTGAACTTTGATATTTCGGAGGTGATGTAGTATTATTTTCTTAGGCAGATTATATAATCAAGAAGTTTTTAAAAGAGGGAAAAAGAATTTAAATATTTAAAAATATTAAATAATAATGACTAAGTTATTATTAAATATCTTTCTCTGTATCAAAACGCATTATATATTATCACGTGTCTTATCTTTGATTATCTTTGATTATCTTGATTTTATTGCAGTAATGATGTAATGAAGAAATAATCCAGGTCCCTGAAAACTTATCAATAAAAGGTATAATTAACAATTACTTGCAAATTAGGATTTAAAGATATAAATAGAGTTGAATAATACTTATTATACATTTTAAAAGTTGAAGTGACAATTTTTATTTTTAATTTATCCAAATAAGTAAACTTGCATAATGTTCTTACTGGTTGGCATTTTCTTATTCTTATTTCCGATTGTGTTTAAGAAACCAAATATTTCGTCATCAGAAAATTTTAAAAAAATAAATGGAAAATTGGACATATTAAATGATAAATTGTTAGTCATAATCAGTCGCCTCATCCAATTTTATTAAACAATGAATATACGAAATTTGAATATAAAAGAAACCTCACGTCGCCTCTTTTTCGAATAAAATTTATCTTATCACTTGATTTCAAATAAATTACATACATGAAATATATCATATATATCAAATATACGAAATTATCATATATACGTTTACAGTATTTAAAATGTCAAATATGATTTCGACTACTTTCGAACATAATGAAACTGCGTATGGTCAAAATGTACGAGGATTTTCTGCCTTTGTACCAGATGCTTTTGGTTCAAATCCAAGTAATTATTATAATTTTATTATTATGATTATCTTATGTGTTATTATTATTATTTATTATTTATTCATTATTATTATTTTATGTTTCTCATAAAATCGTCTTTATTTTTAGGACAATTGGAAAGTTATTTTAAGCAAATCTACACATTTATACCAGACCCAAGAATTCCAATCTCGCCAGCAGCTTTAGCAGGTGCCGCCGCCTATAAGGTAAACTTTATATTATATATAAGATTTATATGCACATATCAAAATATATATTAAGATAAGATATAATTAATTAATGTTTATTTGTAAACAGGCTGTTCGAGATACTCCGCGTCCAACTTTTGAAATACGACATACAGATGAAGTTGATAGAATAAGAGAAACTGCTGCTCGAGAAGCTTTAAATTTACTTCGAACGTTTCCTTTACCTACTATTGATCCACAAATTGTGGTATTATCAGCTGAAGCAGCTGCTCATCGATTATACGATCATGAACATTTCGCAAAGTTTTAAAATTAAAAATTTTATTGGATAAATAATTTTAATCAATTTGTTATTTTTTTTTTTCAAAATGTTTAAACAATCTGATTTTGACTAATTTTTTTTTAATAAAAAAATTTTTAAATTAACATAATTTTAATTAAAAATTAACTAATTTTTAAGCCTTCGACCTGTGGCTTATAATCGTATTTTTATTTAAATTAAATCCTTTATAATTTAAATTTTTAAATGTTAAATATTAAATTAAATAAATAAAATTTATGGAAACTATCATCTTTACTATGTAAAAGGCCTAGGATCCTAAGCAGACATGTTTTCATGTTTTTATTCTTTTATTTTAATATTTTGATCAGTAATTAATCGTATCAATTTAAATTGCAAATATATTAAATAATAGTCGTGAATAATATCTGATATGTTTTTGTAATTATTTAAAATACATTCAATGGTAATATTATTCAATAAAAGATACATTGTTGGCATTTAATAAATTTAAATTTATATAATAACTTTGCAAAATAATAAAAATTTATTGTTTTGTTAGTTATAAATCAATCACACAAAGCTGTCCAAAAAAAAAAAACTAGGCTTAGTAGAATTTTAAATATAACGAACATAGTATTATTGTTTGAAATACTATATTTAAATTTAACAAAGGTTTTATGAATAAATAATTTAATAAATAATTAATAAATAATTTAATGAATAAATAAATAAATAAATAATATTGCTAATATAATATATATATACAGATTCAAAAATACTAAATAAAAAAATAAAAGATGAAATTATTTTATTTTATTTTGATTATTGATGGTGAACTGTGGATTTTCCTACGTGCATACCAACACGAACCTAATGAACGGAATCAAAATTAATAAATTAATAAAAAAAATAATAATAAATAATAATAAGATGATGAAAATAGGATAAAAATTAAATAAAAATAATAATAATAAAAACATACCAAAGTTTCCAAACAAGTAGTAGAATTTGCTAAAATATCTTCATCCCATAACATTCTTCCCTTTTGGAAAAGAAGTACGACTGTGCTACCACCTTTTTTTAAAATTTTTAAGCATTAATATTATATTAAATATTTATAAAACTTTTTATTTAATACATTATACTAACCAAAAGCGAAATAGCCATGTTCTTCTAGTCTTCTTATATAATTTTGTGGTTTACTAAAATAACAAAATAAGAAAGTTAATATCTTAAATAATAATAATAATAATAATAATAATAATAAAATAATAAAGGTTTAAAAAAAAATGAAATTATATAATGAATAAAAATACCTTGTGAGAACAATAGAACCAACCATCATGGCGCCAACGCATATATAAGCAACTTTTCCAAACTGAGGAGAGTTAATATAAGATACAACTCGCTTGTTTTCACCGTAAACATCAAGCCTAAAAAATTAATTAAAAATATAAATAAAACATATCAGGATGTGTGGGTGACATATAATAAGAAACGCGTACTCTGAACGAATTGCCATTGGATTAACAGTATAAAATGCTCCTTTAATTCCATGTGGTTCACTTAATTCTCCTTCTACTGGAAAATGGTATCTTTTAAGAAGAATAATAATAATAAATTAGAATAATAAATAAGAATAATAAATTAGAATAATAAATTAAAATAATAAAATTTAATGATAATAATAATTATTAAAAATATTAAAAATCAAATAATTTAATCTAATTACCTGTGATAATCTTGTGGTGCCAACCTAAAAATACCTAAAGAACCTCCTTCAAAGTCCTTGGCAGCTTCCTCATCATCAAGTAATCTAGCAACTGAAAAGTTTTGACCTTTAATCCAGATTTGTGTTGCGAAATCAATAGTTGGGAAAGCCATCATTCGACAATCTGCTGGACTAACTAAAACATGTGGATCCTGAGGAGAATCACATAATCTGGCACTTGGTTTTAATTTACGATAAAAGAATTCATTGAAATTTTTAAAAGAATCTAATGGATCCAAAATTTCATCTTTATTTAAGTTATGAAACTTAATGAAAGGAACAATATCTCCAGCGGAAGATGGCTTATCGAATTTTTTGCCTTGTTTTACAGAGAGATTTTGTAAAAGATTTTTGGCTGAAATAAATGAAAAATAAATAAAGAAATAAATGATTATTAATAATTTTCGTATTTATTTAAATAATATTAAATACATATAAATAAATCTAGATATATTTAAAGGTATTTAAATACATACTAGTCTTTGAATCAACATTTCCTCCTCCCCCCCTGTATAAAATACGAATACCCAATCGAACATAAGCAGCCATTTTTTCTTCGACTAAATGACCAGTTAAACGATCTTGTACAATGATATTTGCATTATTCTGTGTGTATGTGTGTATATTATTAATCATTTAAATTAATATATTAAAAATATTTCAATGATAAGATATTATTTTAATAATACTCACACCACCAACTTTATAACCACCAAATCCAACTTTGGTGATAACTTTGGTCACCCATTTCCTTTGTGCTTGAGATTCGGTTACAAAATCCCCTGTTATAATGTTACTAACTTTACCCAAATCATGACTTGCACAAATTGCAACGTGAGTAACAATATCTGTTTCTGAAAGTTGAGAAAGATCTGGTCCATGACAAATAGGACATTCTTTGAGATATATTAAATGTTCATCATCAGCTTCTTCACCATCATAATTAGCACTTTTGTGTTCTTTATGTTCCCTCAAATGATTTTCCAAACATTGAACAAGCTCTTCAAATTGTAATTCATCTTTGTGTGGATTTTTTCCAAATCGAGTGAAAAATGTTGATATTGTTTCAACAGTCAAAGAAGAACCTATACTATTTAACATGGTCTCAATTTCAAGAAAATTCATTACTCCATTTTCATCAGTGTCATAAATTTTTGCCAAGGCCATCCAAAATTGAGTTCTTAATTGTTCATAAGGTATAAATTTGATTCGCACATAAAGTTTTGATTGTTGATCCTTTCGTTTGCTATGAACTTCAAGATCAAGCGCTTCTTCAATCATTTCATCATTAGCATCTAAAAGCTTGTATTTATGCTCATATTTTTGTTCAGCCTTATCTATTAATGGTTTAACTGATAAATATTTAGAAGCGACTAGATCGTTATCACTAAATTTATCCCAATCGTAAACAGTAAATTTTATTGAATATTTTTCTTCACTCTTTAATATTGGGAAATGAAGTTTTTCATTCCAAACAGGATTTAAATCATGACTAATGACTTGTGTTCGGAATGTTTTCTTGGAAAATGATACCACTACAAAAGGATCCATATCGAATCCCAATTTAGTTACTACATAATTTACAATTTTAAAAATTAAAAATAAAAATAAAAATAAAATTTAATAAATCAATAGGAAAAATAAATTATGTAAAAGATAAAAAAAAAAGATAAATAAATTACCATCTTTTTCTGGAGGAAGGTCTTTTGCTTTTACTACTTCAAGAAAAATTACTCCAATAACTTCATTTAGTTTAGCTATGCTAGGGCTTTTCTTGTGATGTTTCATGGCATTATCAATGCTAGCTATATCATTACTATTAGCTATATTAGTTGAATCTTCTTTAATATGAAGGTTATTCATTTGACTCCAAATAGAATTCCATTCTCGCTCATCTAGAAACTTGTTTTGATTATCGATAAGCCCAATTTTAATTAAAATTTGACCAGAAACTTCTTCACTTTTTCGAGCAGAGACTAATGGAAATTGTTGAGGCTAAAAAAAAATAATAAATTAAATTTATCTAATTTTTTTAATTAATAATTTCAAAAAAAAAATATATATATATATATAAAGCAATTAAAATATTAGAATATTAACCTTATTGGTTTCATTATAGTAACCAATCTCATTGCTTTCCCAAAAATTTAATAAATTAATGGTAGTTTCTCCCATGTAATCATTGCCAAAGATATCTTTATCCCAACATATAAAACGAAGTTCGTTGCAAGGATTTTTGGGATCAATTTTATAATCGAATGAAGCATTCCATTCTGGATTTAAATTCTTGTTAATAACTTGTGTGCTAAATGTTTCATCCCCTATTTGTAAGGTAATATACTTTAAATATAATAAATATAATCTTTAATTAGTCAAAAAAAAAAATAATAATAATAATAATGATTATGATTATCAATTTATTAAAATTATTATAAATTACGGGATCCGAAAATCCATTTTTATCTTTTGCTGCCAAATTTTGACCCTTGATAATGCTAACACGCAAGATATAATTTTGTTCACCCATTGCGGATAAAATGAGATGATGAAGAAAAATACTTTGCACTCCTTAAGTATTAATTTTTCCCATTCACCGATTAGAATTTGTTTACATACACAAGATTATATATTATCCAAATTTAGTATCTTGTATTTTTGATCAATAACGGATAAAATTCAACCTGATTATACTTGATATTAAGGTTGTGGGAAGGAACTTTTAATTTTAAACAATTGTCAAAAAAATGTTGAAATCTAACATTCGAAATCTATATTTTAATATCTATCCAAATCATGTTAAAAGTTAATAAAATAGTTTAAATTAACAATATTTTTTACAACTTGTATTTTTACACGCGAGATTCTCGGTTTTTTTTTTTTTTTTTTTTTTTTTTTTTTTTTGTGAGTACAGACGATTAAAAGGCTTAGCCAATGGGTTTCCATATATGTTAAATACTCTACATATATGTTAAATACTCTCCATATAAGAAAATTTCATATTAGCTATCTAAGCCCAACCAATTTTTAGTTATTTATTCATTTATAAGATATCAATAATTTTTTCCTTAAATGTATTTCAAATTTACAATTTCGGTGAAAAAAAAATACAAAACGTGGAGGAAATAAGATGAATGAACATTGTACGATCACAAATAAAAAAAAAAGAGAAGATTGTTTTTCAAAATAAATGAACAAATCAATAGATGTAGAATTCTATAGAAAAAAGTGTAGAACACATAAATAAATAACAATAGGTAAAGATATAATTGGATCTTTATTTTAAATATATTATCTAAAATAAATATTAGATAAATATTTTTATTTATATTAAAAAAAAATCATAAAGAACAATAATAATTAAGTACCTCTTACAAAAAAACCAAACATTCGCGATAAAAGATACCATTAGTATTTGGTTTATAGGAACAACCTTCTTACGGGTTGAGCGTGGTAGGCCACAACGCCAAGTTTCCCTGACTCAGGTGTTTGAGCAAGATGTTTCTTGCTCCGTTATGATCTTAAAACCACATGAATTGCGTTTGTAAATTTTGTCCACATGTCTTTGATGTGTAATCTTCTTTGCATATTATTAATATTCTTCCCGAATATTCACACATCTTGTGTTCTAAACATTTTAAACCTGTAATCAGGTTATCATCTTTCTTGCGGTTTTGCTGTTGATTTTTTCGTTTTATCCTGTTCGTCATTTCTTGGATTTCGAATTTCGGAAGTAGGATGAATTTACAATTTCTTGTGGCAATCATCAATAAAATTTCTTATCTTTTTGTGAATTTTTTTTTTTCATTTTTCTTTTGATAAAGATTTTTCGCTTTGATATTTGTCATATCTTTTGGATGTCATTTTTTCCACATTCGATTATTTCCTTTTGGATCATATCTGGTCATAAAGGTGCGAACACCTGGATCTAATGATACCATATCATTATTTTCTTTTGTAATTTTTTACATGATATTGGTATGCAGATATGAAATTCATTTAATTTATTTCTGGTTATCTTAAATGAATGTTTAATAATTGGTAATTTTTCTGATGTTTTGATACTTCTTAAAAATAAAAATGTTTGCTTCTTTGTTTGTAAAAATCTCTTGCTTGTATAGTTATTGAATCTTTCCCTTTTTTATTTTTTTATTTTTTCGTGTTCCTTGTTTAATTAATTTTAATGCCTGGTTGTATGTCCATCTTGCAGTACCCATCCATCTCAATAATTTTTCTTTTTGCTCTTGGTTTGGGTACATTCGAATCTTTTGAACTTTTAATGGACCGTCCTCCAAAGTTTCCATTTTAACTCTTCTTTTTTTTTTTCTTAATCTTCTCGTATTCTTCTTTTCTTATTTGATATGACTCCAAAACTGTTATTCCTTGTTGTGAACACTTCGATTGATAAAAAATCCTCTGTTGTGGTGTCTGTGTCTGGATCTGATATTTTGGGTTTGTTGAGTTTCATAGGATTGTCAGAATCTGGTAATCACAACCTCATCGATATCTCCCTGGTATGTGGGTTCCAGAATGGATATCGATCAGAATCTCTTTCTCTAGGGATAGTAATGTACGAGACCCTTCTGCTACCATACCATCTTCTGAGGGTTATGCATGAGATATATGTTTTTGTATAATAATTTTTGTATAAAGTAGAAATTGGAATTTAACTGTGTTTAATCAGTTAATTGCGATTAAAGCAGTCTGTTTAAATTTAACTGGTTAAAGTATATAGTGTTAACCGGTTAATTGGTTAAATTTAATATTTAAATAAAGAGAGAGGAGGGAGGAAAGAGAAAGAGAAAGGAAAGAGACAAAGAGAGAGGAAAGAGAAAGAGAGAGGAAAGAGACAAAGAGAGAGGAAAGAGAAAGAGAGAGGAAAGAGAAAGAAAGAGGAAAAAGAAAGAGAGAGGAAAGAGAGATAAAGCCGATAAATTTTTTAAAATATATTAATCAAGTAATTAACCGGATATTTCAATGTCTAAAACAAAGAATTAAAATTTAAAAGATAATTTGAAAAAATAAATTTAAAAAATGTACTGGAGTGTTAACATAAAACGATACGTTGTTGAATTCTCTCCTTTATAACAAATTGCAATTTTTTACTGTTTGATAAAATCACGGATACATCTGAGTGATCTAACCGACCTCGTTTATCTATAAAGAATTTAATAAATTTAACTATTTTATCGTTATAATTATCAAGTTTATTATTTAACAATTATGGAATCAGAATTTTCTGTTCGTTCGTCCAATTTTGTCCATCTAATAAATTTTAATAAAGGTCTCGACTATTTTATCGTTATTATTATCAAATTTATTATTTAGCTATGGAATCATAAGTAAGGTAAAAAATGGGGTTTCTTTTTTTCCTGTAAATAAATTTTATTGATTTAAAATTCGCGTTACAACAATAATTACAATTTTTTTTTCTTGAGCAATTAAATATCGACTTTAAGAGCTTTATTTTTCTTTTATAAAAATTTACAATTTTTTTTTATTGCTTTTATTATTATTATAAACAAAGAATATATTCAACAGTATATTCAACGATATATAAGTAAACCTTTTATGGTTAATCATTAATCTGGCAGTAAAGAAGGAGGATTTTTAACAATATGTGTATTAGTAATGAACATGCGATATGATGCAAGAGGTATACGATACAACAATTCTTTGAATATCCGTGGGTCAAAGATGAGGTAAAAATTAAAGTTTTAAATTAAATTTTTAATTAAGTTTAAATTAAGTTTAATTAAGTATGTTAATTCATTACTTTTTATTCTAAGCCATTTCAAACTACAGTAAATAGGCCGGTAATAATTAATCCCAAATCCATTAATTTGGTTAGTAAAGTTGAATCACCTCTTTATGACGAAAGTATTGGAACTCCCGGAGACAGTGTTCGTCGTAAAGGTATTTCGCTTAAAGAGATGTTTGATATCAGCTATGCTGTACATCGTATGGGAGAGGAAAATGCATGAAAAAAGAAAATCAAAGGACTGGAAAAAGAGTGGTGGCCTTAATCTATTTAAAAATCATAATAATCTTAACGATGATTTTTCCGTTGAAGCACCGAGATCAAATGAAAAAATTATGTCCGCCGCAAATGAACCCATAAAAACGAAAACAGGTGGCATAAGGCAACTTACTCAATTGATTTCTTCCAATAAACAACAACATAAAGAAGGAGTACATAGACGTAAGGATTTTGATTTGAATTTAGAAGCTGCAACATTATTAAGAAGGCGTAAGGCTCTAGTCGAACCCAAAAGCATCTGATGCCGTTAGTAAATTAAATGAGCATAAAATATTTTTAATTATTATATCTGATATAAGCATTTTTCTTATTTTTTAAATAATACGTAATTAATTTTTATAATATATATGTTGCTGAGATGTCAGGTGTCAACTGAGGTGCCTCAGGCGTCACCCTTTGACCAGAATTATAGAACTGGCCTATGTAGATCTTATGTAGATATTTAAAACTTCAGCCAACCCTAATCCTAACTCTGGTCAGTTGACATCTGACATCTGAGGCACAACGTATATATATATATATTTCTTATTTCAACCCTTGTAAAATATAATTTATGGATTCGTGAACTTTGTGTTACCTTTATTTGGCTTCAAGAATTTAAATTAAATTGCAATTTCAAGAAAACTGGAAAATCATAAAGATTAAAGTATAAACTATTTCATCTTCTCGAGACTTGACAATGCATTGAAGGTGTTTAAACATATTTAAACAGAAAAAGACGATATGAGAACTGCTGTTTACTATTTTTGACTATTTAAATAAAGTTTAATGTATATAGTAATCAAACAACATTAGAGTTATTTTGTTCGTTTTTCCTTCTTGGGCTGTGTACTCGGACTTTTTATTGCGCCCAAGCCAATAAAGCCACACCAGCAAAAGCCTTTTTGGAGAATTCGACCGATTCTTATGTCGCTTTATGCAAATTTCTCTACTAATGAATATCTATATAATAACAGAATTTGCCGATTTTGTAAACATTTGATTTGATCTTTCTAAATTAAGTGTCATGAAAAAGGGATGGCACAGTATAGTACACAGCATATCCATTGTTTATTGAAATATTGTCAACAGGTTGTACAGTGGCAAATTCTACAAATAATAGATTGTTTTTTTTCGAATTTTTTTTTTTTTTTTTTAAGAACTTATACATTGTTCTTACAATGAATTTTCGTGTTAGATATTTTCAATGAAAGAACAATCTTTCACTTCAATTAGAGATATTTTTAGAAATTATAGATGTACGTATAGATGCAGATATTAATATGCATAAACATTATTTTTAGGATCTACAATCATAAACGCGAAGAATTAATTGACGCCATACTTTCTACTCCCCCTTAATAAAGGAATTTTTAAAAATTTGAACCATTCACGAATATAAATACACCTTTCTTCCTTTTTACTTATTAATTTGGTTACCCATTAATGAAGTATCCCAACTACGTTAAAATGGATGAGGAAGAATTATGTTGTTTATCGAAATTAGTAATCAAACTTTTCAAACAAAAATCCTCTAAAAAATATTCGAATATCGCTGCGCCGTTATTACCAACCGAATGCATGCAACAAATTTTTCAGCACATAGTCGATCAAGGAGTGGGTCTATATCCATTCTTGCTGGTAAATCGTTATTGGTGCAAAAATGTTGTACCTTTCTTATGGGCTCGACCATTTGAAGGATTATTACCAGAAAATCGTTATAAAATAATGTTAATTTATCTTTCTTCCCTCAATGAACGAGAGAAATCTGAATTGAACAATTCTTTGAGACCCTTTATGATCTCTTTACCTGATTTACGACCACCTTTATTTAATTATCCAATGTTTTTAGAAGAATTCTCTTATAAAAATCTAGAGATGGCTGTACACTCTTGTATATATAGATGGAATAGTGTGACACGACAGAGAGATCAAATTCTTGTATTATCAACCGCTTTATGTAAATTATTTCTAAGAAATTCTGAAGAATTAAAAACATTTATAATAGATAAATTTTTAAGTCATTCTGATATACCAGATTCCTCAATATTCAATACCGTTCAACCTGGTCTAAAAAATATTTCAAACCTTTCTATAGACTATACGAAACCTATGATGGATAATACCATTAGACTTTTAGAATTGATTCCTTTTACATGCACAAAAATTCGTTGTTTAGATATAAAAATTCCTTTCTTTGAAACTAATCCGGATGTAATAAAAGCAATAATTAAAATAATACAGGCACAAGATTGTCTTCTCGAATTTAATCTTGAAGGAGTTAGAAGTGGAGAATCAAAGGACATTATCCAAGCATTACAAACCCAAACGGGTACTTTAACTTCCATAAAGTTAGAGAATATTCACTTAAGTACATCATCATTATTATCACTTAAAACTTGCCCGAATCTTCAAAGTTTAACAATTTTGCAATGTCGAGGATTAACAGTTGAAGAGAATCAGAATGGAGGAGGAAGTAGTAGTGGTGGTGGTGGTGGTGGCGAAAATTTATGGAGAAGTAATCAATTTAATCTAAAAAAACTACATCTAAGTAATTCCCCCAAAACACCATTAATTCCTGCAGCAATAATTCGGTCAGCAGGTGACTTCTTAATAGAATTAAGTTTTGATGTTATAACAAAAGAAACCGTAGAATCAACAACAACACATTGTCCAAATATAACAAACTTACATCTTTTAAATTTTCTTCCCCAACACAACGGTTTATTAAACGATTTATTTCAAGGTCTATCTAAAATTAAGAAACTTACTTTATCGATATATCATACGCATGTGAACAGGGAAAATATGATTATATCAGGAAGAGAATTACCAGTCACTTTAGAATATTTAAAATTACGATGTGGTTTTAATACCGTACAATTGGATCATCTATTAAGAGAATGCAGAGCTCCATTAAGAGTTTTAATTATTGATTTTATGAAATTTGAATATTTGGATTTGAAAGTCATTACGAGATTTGCAAGATCAAGAAGAACTTTGAAATATTTGGGTATTGGTGGAAGAATTGGTTGGAGTGTTAGAGAAATGAAAGAATTAGAGATGTTGAAACAAAAATTTGGAGTAAATTTAATTCCGTGGGATGAAATTGATAGATGGTAATTAAGATTGATATTTTTATATTGGAAAAAAAAATAAACAGATTAGTCTATCAATGTACAAAATAAATTTAAATGGAAAGTGTAACAACTACAGAACAGATTATAATGTAAATATCTCTTTTATTAAGTTTACATCTGTAAAAAAATAAAAATAAAAATAAAAAAAAATAAAATAAAAAAAAAAGAAACTCATAAGATCACTCTATAAACTTTATAAAAAGACAATTCTATCATAATTTGTATTATTAGTCCTTTAAAAATAGATAGAAATATTGTAATATAGAAATATAACAAAAAAAAAATAGTGAATGTAAATATCTTAATCATTGAAAAAGGTATTAAATAAAGATAATAGAATCCCATTTATGTTACAATATAATTTTATTTAACTTTTTTCAAATTGAACAATCTAAATAGAAATAATAAAGTAATTAATCAAAATTATATGTTGAAAAATTATCTTTGTTCAAAAGTTATAGGTTGAAAATTATTTCTTTATTAGATAATTTATTGGATATTATTAAATTATGGCTTGTATATTTATTTATATTAATAAAAGTTCTACTATGAATTTTGTTTAAAGATGATTATAATTGAAATCGACTTTAATCAATTTTAGAAAAAAAAAAAAAAAATTATTTTTTAGCAACTTTCAACAAAGATATGGAATTATAAAGTTCTCGAAAATGTTGATTTTCTTCAAAGATTATAATTTCTTTATTAAATTATGTATTAAGAATTATTTCGCATCATATAACCTCTGTTCAATATTTCAAAAATGAATGAAATATCTGGTAAATAAAACTAATATATAAAGGTAAAATATATGTACGTTAAAAAAATAGAAATATAATAAACTTCGAAAAATTAATATTAAGATGTTAAGATGAATAGCTTTAAGAAATTTAATAAAATAATTTTATAAATATTAAATTAAACGAAAGTAATAATGTAAAATAATGTAATATAATTTAAATTAAAATTCTTTAATAGCGTATTCATTTATAAGCTTTGAATTCAGAAATAATTTTTTTTTTTTTAAAAAATATAAAATTTAAGAATAGTCTAATATACATAATACAAAATAATGACTTTACATTACACAGGAATAAATGAAATAAAAGGAAAGAAGGAAGGATTACATACATCCTGTCATATTTATTCCATTCTAAAAATTTTGAGGATTAGGTGATGGCGATACGGATCGATTAATCATTGATGGAAAAGAAAGTTGTTGATTGATAGTAAAGCGAGGAGATGCAGATCTAGTTGAAATTGGTGATGTTGATCTGGAAACAGGTGTTGGAGGGCTATTTATTTCATTAAATAATAATGAATCAGTGTCGGCAAATGTTGGTGAACGGATTCTTTGACGAGCCTCAGAAAGAGGCATAGTTGCCATATTACTTGATGAAACTACAGGTGCTATATTTGTTAAAAGAAAAAAAAAAAAAAGTGAACCTTATTCCGCAAAAAATATAAACATTGACTTTATTGATTTATTTATAATAATAATAACAATAATAAAGTAATTTACTTTTAACGTCTCTTGATATTGTAGCTTTCATCATAGCTTTCATCCAATCTCTCATTTTATTTAAATCATCATGTGCAAAATAATAAGTTCGTTCAGTATCATGAATCAATTTAAATCCATATTTTCCCTGTAATATGTTCTCATCCGGCACAATACGATATCCAGTGAGATTTAAATGACCTTTAATTTGAGGATTTTTTTTATTCTGAAATAAATATAAATATGATAAAGTTAATTTATAAATCAAATAATAATAAAATTAAATATTGGTTCGGAAATAATACCTTATCACTTCTAAGATAGAATAAATTAACCCCTTTTAATATGCAATATCGATTTTTCCATGACTTGTATTTATCCCCTTGTTTCTTAAGCCAACCTTCGTAGTCAGGTGTTTTTAAGTCAATAATTTCTTCTTCTTCATTAATAAATTCATCAACGGGATGCTCATAATAAAAATTTCTATATTCAGAATCATTCTTGTTATCAAGACTATATTTTAACAAAGGTTGGTTAGCATAAAAAAGTCATCATTTGTCCTTATTTGCAAAAAAAAATAATTATTAAAGAAAAATAATTACTTTGAAGAATTTAATAATGGATTCGAATTTTTTGGTGTTATAATTCTTAGATCCTAATAAAAAAAAAAGGGTTAGGTGAGTTCAAAAATATTAATGAAAAAAAAAATAATCAGTAACTATCCATTAATCTAAAAAAAAAGATTAATACCTTCTTTTTCGACTTTTTTTCTAATCTTGATTTTAAATCCATTTCATTTTCTTCTTCCTATGAATTTAATAGATCCTTTAAACATTCAAAACAATATAAATTAAAATAAAATAAACAAAATAAAATATTGAAATTTACCATCAAGAAATCCCATCCACCATTTGATTGCAATCGAAGTTTTTCTTTCTTTATTGGTGAATTTTTAACTCTAAGTGATAAACTATGAGAAATTCTCTCTTCCTTTTCCTCTCTGTCATTTTTATTCGAAAAAGTTAATCTCGAAAATATCTTGCTGCCTTTTTTGGAAAGCGTTCTTCGGTTCATTGGCTAATTTTTGAAACAAAAAAAAAAAAGTTTTAGTATATAAAATTGAAAATAATTAATAAAAAAGAATTGCGTATCAAAAAGAAATAAAAATATCTTGCCTGTCGAACCTTTTCACCTTCTGAACTACGTTCATTTGAATATTGAGAATTATCTGTGTTGGATTTGTTAATGGTAGGCGTTTGGGAACTCCGTGAAGATTCAAAGTCGTTATAAAATACATTTTCATCATTTACCTTTACCTATTCAGAAATTTGATTCTAAGTTAATATTTAGCGGATAGAAAAAATAAATACTCAATACAATTAAATTTTACTTTAAGAGTTTGATTGTAATTATTTTCTTCTTTATTCAAAGAATGATCATTTTTAAGAGATTCTATTGCGTTTATTATATGAACTCGTTTTCCATATGACATTATATTCAATTCCTTTAGGGATTCTAAATTTAAGCCGATTAAGACATCACCTGTGATGTCATTTTCTATATATTAAAAAGGATAGAAATTGAATTTTAAATTAAAAGCTAATTTTTTGGAAAGAGACTTTAATTGTGTATATATTATTACTATTAATTATTATTAATTTGAAATATTTACCGACAAATTGATCCATGACTGACTCCAAGCCTTTCTCCTTTAACCATTGACAAACTTGTTCCATGTTCCATGTCGAAGGGTGCCAATTATTAAAATGATTATTGAATTTCGATGTAGAATCAAGTGTATTTGTACTATCTACTTTCGATCCCTTCTCTATCGACGATGACGGTTGAGGTGAAATTTTATTACTTAAATTATTTAAATTATTTTTATTTAAATCTTCACTATCATTAATTATGGTAGAAGAAATGGATTCTCTATTACTTTGTGGTTGAACTATTATCTGTGGCGTTGTTTCTTTTTTTATTTCCGAAATATTTGATTTATTATTTACAACGCTTAATTTATTAAGTTTTGCTTCCGACTTCTTCTTTGTAACTAATTTATGTAATTTATTCTGTAAACCACTAATTGTACCAATTGAATTAATCGTATTAGTTGGAGTTTCGTTTTCCTTTACGTCATCAATATTATTTGTGGTTGAATTAAAATGATGATTATCTGCCGCCGCCGACGTTATGTCGTTAGTATTAGGATTAATTGGAGGAGGTTTATCGTAACTAGTATAATTCATAGGGAAAAGACCGATCTGTCCGTGGATGTTTTGTCCCTAAATGATTTTTGAAAAAAAAAAAGAAATGCATTTAATTTTTTGAATTTTAAATTTTCTATATTAAATTATAAAAAAATTACCTGCCACCAGCCATCCCCGTACATTTCGTCCTTTTCTAATACTATAATGGGTTCCCCATATTGAAAATTTACTTCATCACCATGTTCCGCTCGAAAAGTATGAGTTGCGTAGACTGTCTCAACGTACATTTTATGAAGTAAATTATAATAGAAACCTTTTGAAAATGGAAAAAGGAGAAAATAATGATATATTTTTAGGATTCTTCAAATTTATATTTAAAAAACCAATAATTTAAAATTTTTTTTGGGATCGAATATTGGTATTCCAAATAAAAATGCATATCATAAATAAAACTGCAATTGTGTATTTCCTTTTTAAATGTAGTGGTGCGTTATTCCATATTAAGAAATCTTTCATTAAAAAAAAAAAATTCGTTTTTAGTCTTCTTTTTTGGAGAGATTATTTTCACAAGAGAATAAAATATCATTTTTATTCGGTGCAATTTCTAAATTAAAATAAAGATCACCCAATAAAAATTAAAAAAAAAAAGGATTCAAAATTAGTCCAATATGGTCTGGTTAATAATTCTTGTAAACAATGGAAAACGAAAAATATTATCACGTGATCTAAATTTTATGCGAGTAAATGATCCAATAATAAAGTACCCCACCGTTACAGAATACATTTTCTATTAGAATGAATTCGTAAAACGTACATTATACTCTTATAAATAATAAAAAAATACAAATTCTTTACCAATTTCTAAATTTTAACAATCTCAACACGTATAATAAGTTAAAGGCTCTCAATAGATTGCTATGCTATAGAAAGTCTTTCTTGAAATCTTGCTACTAATTTTCTTACGTAATCCTTTCCCATTAAACTTAAATTTAAAGATAAAGAAGTCTAGACAAAGAAGGAAAACAAAGGAAAACAAACAATAACTGTAAAAATTATAAAATTTGTCCTATAATTTTTCCAAATTTTTTTTAAAAAAATGCAATCTAATCCTATTTTGGTAAGTGATTCATTCAAAATAAAAATACATAATAAATCATCTATAATAAAAAATGTCGTGCATATGTATTTATATTTGTTGAATCCTTAAAGAAATCACATTTTATATCATGTATAATAAATAATTACGAAAATATTTGTTCGTATAAATATATAAATATAAAAATAAAAATAAATAAGCAAAAAATAAACTAAATAAAAATAAACTAAATAAAATGTTATTTGATGCTAAAATAATATACATTTTAAATGAATGTCTATATATTGAAACTTTCTAATATAAATACATATTTTTTCTAGAAGCTGTTCAAGATATGAATGATTTTTTTAATACCAATTCATATTTTAAGGTACTTTTCAGCTTAATAAATATTTTCGTGTTAATGAAATAATAATAATAAAATGAATAAATAAATATCAAAATTTTGGAATAAAGACTAATTTCATTATGTTACATCCTAAAAAAGGAAAGTCTTTATACAATTATTATAATACACTTGGTAATTTTATCAAAATCGGCGAATTAGGTGAATTGGGTGAGTTGGGTAAATTGGGTAAATTGGGTGAATTCTGATTTTCATTTGGAGAAGGTGATGTCTCTGCCTCTTGACATGATGATTTTATCCATTTGTCTATAAAAATTAAAATGTGCATTTAATTCATTTAATTCATTTAATTAATAATAATAAAATATTACGTAAAAATATTCCTGTGTTACCTGGTATTTGTAAAAAGTATTGGTCCATTGAATCTCTAAATCTTTCTTTATATTGATCTGGGGGTAGTACTGTAACATCTTTAGCATTTCGACTAAGAGTTTTACCCCTGTTTTCAATCCTTTTATATAACGTGTAAGCACCAATGAAATCTACAATAAAATATTAATATTAGATATGCGAACCCTAAATCTGGAGTGCAAGAAATCAGAAAATATCACTTACCAACAATACCAACGATCAATTCTTTCTTTTCATCATCAACCCCAACTAATAATGAATAATCCATGATATTAGCATCACACAAGAATTGTGTGTCATTATCCAAAGCCTCCTTTAAAAGTTTTTTGGAATGTGAATATATCAGTAAACGAGATTTATATCGACCTAATAAAAAACATACATATTTAAAAGTTAAATAAATTAAATTATATGACATGTCCATAAGGAAATTAATTTAAGACCAACCTTCTACCCAATCTCCATCCCATAATGTGACATCATCTTTCTTTGTCTGATCTCTAATATGACGTTCCTGAATTCCTTTTAGATCAAATTTCTATTAAAATCACAAAGATTTGTTTTAGTTAAAGTTTTACCTCGTATTTTTTACAATATCGACCAACAAAGTGTAATTAACATACCGAAGTTATGGTTTTTTCAAAGAACAAATGTTCCATGACAAGAACATCCATTTTTAGAACATTATTTTTAAGATCTTTAATTTTTATGGTGTAAAAACCGAAAATCTTTGCAAGTACAGAAGGCATCTGTACGTATAAATTAATTTCATAAATATCCGAAATTAATTTTATAACTAAACGAATTAATGTAAATGAATAATTCATACATTTGGACGTTTGTTCATGTATTCGAAATACTTTGGCGCAATTTTTAAAAATCCTTCTTTCTCTGCAATTCTCCATGATGATACCATTTGCTTTATAACCAAACGATTATCTAATATTAAACCAAAGAACTATTAAATATGTTTATTGAACATAAACATAAATAAGAAAAATATATTTTTTCTTTTACCTTGTGTCTTAAGAAATGTACTAGCACTTTTGCCTCCTGTTGTTTGCCATGGAGAACATCTTGATAAAGAATCAATACAAAGATCTTCAATTCCACATCGACGTCGCAAAGAATCAAATTCTGATGCGAAGTAAACAGTGCATGTAAATCGTTTGTTTCTATGAACGGCATCTTTGAATTTATAAGTCATTTTATAGAAATATCAATATAACAATTCCAAAATTACAACAAATAATTATAAATATATATGCTGAGATTAACATTAGCTCACCATATTTAATATGAGGACTGGTTCTTTCCTTATCCTTTTGACTATTTTTTCTGCTCCAACCAATACTTTCACGAAATGTATTGTGAACAGATGACTCATCATCATTTAATTTATGTCCATTAATTTCTATAGTAGCCCGAGGAGGTTCTGACTTTTTCTCATTATATTCTTGTTTCTCATTAAATATTTTTTGTTTTTCATTCTCCTTCCCTTCATTTTCCTTATTATCTTTTTCCTTGTGGTTTTCAAATTCTACATTATTCATACCAAATAATCCTGCAAACTTTCCACTACGTGATGGATTAGTTTTTTCGGAATCTTTGTCATGATCTTTTTTCTTTTCTTTGCTACTCAAAGATGAAATATTGAAGGCTTTCATTGATCCAAGTGTTGTCTCAATCCCATGAGTTATAAATCCATTATCTTTTACATTAACCCATTTTCGTTTTATCTTTGTTGAATATTCATCAACAAGAGTAAATGAATCACCATCTACACTATCTGAATCGGAATCTTTTTTATTGTTAAGGCTTGACGATGATGGATTTTTATTATTAAGGCTTGACGATGATGGATTTCTTAGTGAGCTAAGGAGAGTAGAAAATGAAGAAGAAGATTGTGGAGGGCGATGCTCCGTCGAAGGAGTTGTCGGAGCTGATTGTGATTTTGGTAGAGCGCCATAACGAATAGCAGTCAATTCATTTAAATAATCTTGAGAACTTTAGACAAAAATGCATTAATGATGTTAACAATATTTACGATAAATATTTTATAATTTATAAATAATATAATACCTCAATGTAAATGCTATAATAGAACTTGGTTCATCTTCTCTTATTATAATTGGCGAACCAGTGAAAACATGACAATTGTCACTGTATAATTTGTTTAATAAAGCATTTAATATAAGAATTAGGAATTTTTTTTTTTCTTTAAAAAAAAAAAATTTTTTTAAGAATTTACAAAGAAAAACAATTACTTTACATATTCCGGTTCAACCCACTCCATTTTAGGAATACTTTCCAAATCTACAGGATCAATATGATCTTTATTCCATTGTGTCAATCGCTTTTTGGTTGCTCTAATTCTCTCAACAAATGCTTGTCGTACATTATTTAAAACAGTTACTTTAGTTTTCTTTAACATATTATATAATTCAAATTCCTCCGTGCGAAAATTCTGAGTGAGTTCTTCAAGTGACTTAAGATTTTCCATTGATTTATCATATCCAGATTTCTCTTTTTCATTTTCGTTTACGTTCGAACTTCCCAATTTTTTATTTGGCAAATTATCGAAATACTCTTCCAATAAAGTTATAAATTGTTTCACACTTCCATAAAAATTAGTAATTTCCAACCTTGTTTCATTATATAACATATCTGCAACTTTATCACAAATAGTGAATAACTTTTCGGAACCACCTAAACTAGAATAAGCTTGATTTGCGTCATGATTTATTTGTAACTTCGGTAAGCGCATTTCAAAAAGGTCCACATGTTCATATTCCACTTTCACCTCCAAATCGCCACGGCGAAAACATCTTAACAATGAATCTCGCAATTCGGCGTGCTGACATAAACCTTTGCAGGCAAAATTTTCATTATAAAATAGAATTTCAAGATATTTGGCAAAGGAATAATAATAGGTGGATTCTGACATCAGGACTAATGAAGTCCTTGAAGAACATAGTTTACATTGGGTCCACATTATGATATTATTGGAAAAATATTTTAATTTTTGATCCGGGGATTCTTCAACCGTAATACTTATTCTTCCATCATTATGAGTATATGTTGTAATATGGTCTTTTCCGGGATGATCGCAGGATGGTTCTTCACATGTTTCATTGGCTTTATTACAAATATCGTCAATCATTTCACCAAGACTTTTATCTGAATGACAATTGGTCTTATTATAATAATCCATTCTTATTATTTCATGATTATGGCAAGGAACCGGTGAAGTTGGTGACCAAAATCTTGCGAAAGAAAATGAAATTGATTGATGCTTAAATATTCCATTGAGTGAATGATTGTTTGTCATCAGATAAGTTAAACTAGATTGAAAATCTACGGATGGGTAAATATTATTGGACATTTTTGCATATGTTCGATACTTTTCTAAGGAATTTATAGTATTTGAATCATTTGACAAAGCTCTAGCTAATTCTCGAACATCCTTTGAAACATATGACTTAAATGATCTCTCGTCACCATCATTTAGCGAAATAATTTCTGTTTCTTCATCTTTCAAACGTGTTAATAGATGTGGAGGCGGAAATTTAACTCCAGGGGAAGATGATAAAATAGAATTTTCCATTTGTGTAATTACATTGGCGAACTTATTTTTTGATAATACTATAATGTCTTCATCTTCATCAGATGATTCCTTAGTAACTGAAGGAGTACCAGATTTTCGTTTAGATAATATAGTTCCATGTTTATCAATAATTTTGATAGGATGTTCCTTGATTCGAGATAAGTTATTATTTTTCATTAACCATCCAAACCATGAAGATTTTGAAGAACGTCTCGAATTTCTTAATGTATTTTGAATTTCTTCAGCATCAAGAATATCTTTATTTCCAGTACGTAAAACTGAATGATCACGATACATACACATTTCTAATTTTAGATTACACACCACGAATACCATAAGTTCCAATATCTTGTCAATTCTATTAATATAATGTCTATTGCCCTTTAAAATAATTGTACCACCTATCAACCTTATATCCGATCCTATAGAAGAAATTTATTGAAATTTAATTTTTATGTGCTTTAAATAAATTTTATGAATATTTAAAATGAAAACCAACCTTCAAGTTTCTCTGATTTCTCTAAATTCTCTAACTTCTCTAACTTCTCTGACTTCTCTGACTTAAATAAAGGAATTCCATCAAAATAATTATAAACAAAATGAGAATCACTCGGTTTTCCATCTTCCTTTTTAAAATTAATAACAAATTTTACTAAAGGTTTCTGAATATTAATTTGTTTTGAATAATTTTTTTCATTTAATTCTTCATTTTTTTCACTTTTTTCACTTTTTTCATTTAATTCGTCATTTTTTTCATTTAATTCTTCATTGTTTGAAGCTACATAATCTTCATGTTTTTCATATATTGCCTTGATAGCTTTCGGTACAGTTTCTGCAATATCTAATATAATTCCTAATATTATAGATTCCCATGGATCACTATCTACAACACAAATACTTAAACATTGTCTTAGGATTTTCCGAATATGACTTAATGAACTATTATCTAATGCTAAATCATTTGTACCTCGAGGTAAAGGAGGAACATATGATAAAAGAATTTTAATATTATTGTTAATTTCATTAGAAGAATTTTCCGTGGGGAGGGCAGGCAAAGGTTTATGGGATGGTACGATTACTTTCGGAGGGATAGTGACGGACATTTCTTCAATACAAAGTTGAATAATTTCAATAAAAATAAGAAAGACAGCGAATGGATAAAGTAAAAGATTATAGGAAGAATATTCTACCAACATTTATTACTATAAATAAATAAATTTTTGTAAAATTGAAAATTATATCAATTATATTATAGATAAGATATAAAGTTGAGGGGAATTAAAATTTTTTTATTTTAATAGATGACGTTTCCCCCGTTAAATGTTGTAACCGTTTTTATCTTTGTTACACTTAAAAGTATAGATTGATTCTCCACAATATCATTTATGTGAACCCTCTACTTCAAGGTGCGGAGACACATGAAAATTGTCTCATTACCACAAGTATAACCAAATGAATTCTAAAAATATGCGAACAAAAATCAATCATAATCCAAATTAGGTTAATATTGAACTTTAAATAAATAAATAAAAAATTTACGAAAAAAAATTCTTTAATTTTAATTAGAAAGAAGTAGAAAGATTTCGATAAAAAATTTTATCAAGAACTTTAGATATTTATTAAAATCTTATTAATAATTTGATACCAAAAATATCATGTCACCAAAAGCAAACTGATTAAAAAACTTTAATATATAATCAAATGTTATGAAAAGTAATTTTGTCAATAGATATAATTAAGTGACATGTTTCAAAGTAGTGTTTTAGTATAACCTCAAAAAAAAAGCTATCTTTCCTATCAGTTCATAAAAAAACACGCGTAACAAAGAAAAAAAATAAAATAAAAATCAGCAGATTTACACGAAAGTTCTATTTTACAAAAATTAATACATTTATATAAATTATATTTTATGTTTTTCATATTTAATTTTAAAATGAAGGTGATCATATATATATTAACTTCATTAGAACCACTTCATAAAAGCTTGTGTAATCCGCACTTGTTGACTTGAATAATAAACAAATAACCAAAAATGTTAAAAATGTTCAACGTTCTCCGATAGACGATTCAGTAATATTTTAATTCTTACATTTGCGATGTCTTTTTGCCCGTTTGTATTTCAAAGTACCAGATTTGATTTGATCAGCTGGCCTGTTTTCGCCATGCATCTTGTAACTAGAGAAAATTAGAAGCATACAAAAAAATTTACTTTTTTTTAAATTTTTTATATTTATGAATTCTATAAAAAAAAAATGTTCAACTTACTAAAGTCCACATGCATTACATAAAAGTTTTCCAAATTCATCACGTCGCCATGCGGGAGATTTGGTTACCTTACAATTCGCACAAATATTTCGATAAGAGATACTTGGATTTGATAAAATCTCAAGTATTTGAGGATGATAATTGAACGAAGCGGCCATTTTTTCTTCTATTTCCCATTGATTCATAAGACTATAATAAAGATTATTAGAATTTTTCTTAAAAAATAATAATAATAAAAAAATGCATAATTAAAAAAAAAGATATTGCAACGCCTTCCACTCACGAAATAGCCTTATCTGCTGGTATTAAACCTGCTTTAACAAAATCTTCGATCGTCAAATCGAGCATCCAATCTTCAAATAAAATCTCTTGTCCATCGTGTAGCATTATCATCTCTGGTGAAAGTGGCATAGGAGAGGACGCATAAATTTGTTCAAAATTAAAATTTGTAGTGATATTATATTCCATTGATAATCATTTAATTATTTTAATTATTTTAATTATTTATTAATTATTTATTTAATTTAATAGTTAATACATGAAGAATTTTAAGAAGAGAAATAATGCCTTTTTATATCTTAAACCTTTCACTGAACGACATTAATCACTTTCGGAAATCATTGTATGATACATGTTTCGGAGAATAAGAATAAATTTCTTCTAAAATTATTAAAACCATATATGGATAAGTGTAAAAGATTGAAGTTAATGCAAGCAAATACTAATGTAGTCTATCTGATTTTGTGAATTAGGATGTAAAATTTGATTTATTTATTATACATTACAAAAAAATTCAATAATGATAACATAAAGTTTGAAATGATTTAACCAAATATCGTACCGAGAACTTTAATTATTCGCGTGACCTTTTTTTTTTTTTTTTGTTAATTTTTCGTACTAAAGAAAATTTTTTACAAGACAATACACTAAAAACAAGCTCTTTCTTGTAATGAGATACTGTGAACAATGATTCATTACTTTACAATCATCTTATAAGCAAATTTCTTTTGATTGACCGCCAAAAATGATTTCGAATGAAGAATCATATCTGGTATAGCATCATTTGATGATATACATTTAGCTTGATTTTACTTTATTAAAAAAAAAACTTTTTTCTACAAGGATGGTAACTTAATTTGTTAATTTACTAATTCAGAACAATAAATAAAAAAATTCTTGTTAACCATCTTCAGAATATAGTCAATCACAAAAATTTTTGGTCGTTAAGAAATGTCAGGTGACAATTCCTAGAGTGCGTGATATATTCCCTTCTGTCGAGCCAAATGTTCAATGAAACGGTGTAACTAACTTTCGTTACTATAAATTATTTTTATAACAAAGAGAAATGATTAGTAATAAAAGACAAGGGAGTATCAGTGAATTAGAAAAAAAGCAAAAACTTGCCACTATAAGTGATAATATAAGTTTATTTTACAAACCTTATAATTTAGAGAATTTTGCATTCCAAAATTCCAGCATTCGATATTTGATGATAAGGAAAATACAACGTGATACAAAAATTGAAAATTTAAATGAAATATATAAAGAAACAAAACAAACATGCAATGTTCATGTGTCTAATAGATTATTCTCTCGAGATTTCGTTATTTAAGGTATCCAAGAACGTGATTAATATTATTTAATATGATTTAATATGATTTAATTTCGCTGAGTTCCAATCTTCCCTTCTATGGTTATAAACATTCAGTCCCTTTTTTTTAACCCTTTTTTGGTCTTTAATGTTCTCTCGGACATTTTAATTAATCATTCCAAATTTTAAGATTTACCTTCCTAACTACAATATATCTATATATTTATTTATTTCATCCATAAGAATTAAGTTAGAAAAACAGGTATTAAAGAAAACACTATATTTTATTTTAATGATTGACAATTATTTTACCCTTTATAACGTTTTTTTCTCGTCGACTTTTCATATGATATTAAAAAGAGTCCAAATACAATCCGGTATTCCTTATATTTTTTATCACGTGAATTTGCGAAATATTATTTTTAACCTATCAAATTTTTTTTTTTTGTTACCATGAAAAATCGACCTTGACCAATTTGATATTGATTTTGGGGGGGGGGGGGGGATGTGTTTGGGAGTGCATGCAAAACCACCAGTTCCTAATTCTGAATTAGGAAAACAAAAATAAATTGACAATATAAACTACAAAAAAAGATTACCATTATTCTTTCTTTCTCACTCTTCCCTTCAGATATTACCACAATTTTTTACTTTCTTAAAATATACCTTTACCTTAAAAATTTCCTAATAATTAAAATAAAAAAAAAAGATTTCTTAAGTGTCATATATAGTTTAATCAATTCAAATTTGTGATTTTTGTACTCAAAATGGGCTTAGAATTAGTTTACGCAATTCATCCATTTGAGGCCGAAAATGATGATGAAATTGCTTTTGAATTTGGAGAGCCCATTACAGTTTTGGAAAAAGATGAAATGTATGGAGATGGTTGGTGGCAGGTAATGACAAATCTTATTCACGTGATTATTTAAATTTTTCTTTTTTTTTTTTTTTTTTTGCTTCCAATTTATCAAAATTCATTGAATTTATGTAGGGAGAAAATATTCATGGAAAAATTGGACTTTTTCCCATGACTTACACTAGTTACATTAATCCTTTAACATCATCTGAAACCGAAAAAGGTGGAATAAATAAATTATATAATAAATCAATTGTGACCTCTACAAATAAATTAAATAATTCAGATTTGGAATTATTTAGAATGCCAACTCCAACAATAGACGAAACAATTGATGATATACATGACAAATTGCAAAAAATGGGTATAAAGAATGAAGAAAATGATCAATTCCAAATTGAATCAATTGAATTACAACAGTCGCAATTACAAGCGTTGTCATCTAAAAATGTCAGAAATGGCAAATTATTAATTTCACCATCATCAGGATCTAATAGTAGTAATAATAGTAGTCGGATATCTTCATTGAGACGATCACAACGACAATCTTCGGAGAATAATACAAATAAATTTGGTTCACATTCCTCTTCTTCACAAATTCAAATTGGTCCAGTAGCGCCATCTCCCACAGAATTAATCATATCAGCTCCTACAGAATTAATTGTATCATCATCATCTGAAACAATAGAAAATTCACAAGCTGAATTTGATTCATCTACTATTAATAATTTTGAATATCATCCATTAAATTGGGATGTTCGAAAAGTTTGCTCATGGTTAGAAGAAAAAGGATTTAAAAATGAAATAACCAATTTTATTGGTAATTATTTTATTTTATTTTTTAGATTTTAAATGTATATTTTTTTATCATTAACTATTATTAACACATGAAATAATTAAAATAATCTCATGTTATTAGAAAATGATATCACGGGTGATGTCCTTTTACAACTTGATTTATATACACTTAAAGAGTTAAATATTAATTCTTTTGGGAAGAGAATGCATATAATGAATGCAATAAATGAATTGAAATCCCAATTTTCTATGGCTGAGGAACCAGGACCGGATGATGATGTTTCAGATATAGAAGAGGTAAAATTATTATTATGATTCTTTTTTATGGAAACTTTTAATCTATTTAGAAAATTAATCGAAAATTTTCTTAATCAATAGCGTAGTGAAAGAGTAATTTCACCAGTTGCACGTTCCGAGCCATGTCAAATATACCCACAAAATTTGGGTTATAATAATTATTTAACAAGTAGCAATATTGCATCTATGAATAAAGTGGGAGATCTTAATCATGAATATCTTAGGAATGATGTTGATAACTTGAAAAACATTAAAAATAATTATACATTCCCATCTTACTTTTCTAACCCTCTGAAATTAGATTTTGCAGAAGATTCAAATATTGATGTAAAGTTTTTAGAGAGTAATAAAGATATTATGTTAAAAAAAAAAAAATTGATTTTTTTTTTTTTTTTTTCTTTTTTTTACTTAAAATATAATTAAATATAATTACAGATTGTCAATAAAAAATCACGAAAAATATTTCCAAAGTGGAATAGTCTCTCAAAATCAAATAAAGAGAAGAAAAATAAAATCCGAGCTGCATCTGCTGCAAGTAGATGGGAGTTTTCTCAAGTAAGTAGGGAATTAATGAAATTAATGAAATGATACTTTATAATTGATGTGAATATATTTTAGGATGACGAAGATAATGAAATCAATGAAACAACAAAAAAGAAAACCAAGAAAGATAAAAAAACAAAAATTAAATCTGTCGGTGGTGACGAATTGGAGGGATTAAATTCTATCGGGAAAAAGAAAAAAATAATCATGGTATTTTAAGTATATCTTTTCTATATGATAGTAATTACCTATATTTATCCAGTATTGACAATATCAATATTTTAATATTCTCCAATATTCTCCAATATTCTCCAATATTCTTCAATATTCTCCAATATTCTCCAATATTCTATAGGAGAAAGATAGTTCTACAGAAAATCAAACAGGAGTGTTCAAACGTTATTCAGGGTAAGCATGTGATATGGTATTTTGGATACTAAAAATAGTATAAGTCTATTTTCTTAATTGTATTATTATTATTTTTAAGAAATATTCTATCACTTCTTTATTTACAGTAGCAATGAAAGGCGGAATACTTCTGGAAAACAAATTGGAAAAGAACAAACAACTGAAAATTTAATTTATATTAATGAAGAAATAATGGGAGCTATTGGAGAGCCAGATTATGAAGGATGGCTCAAAAAACAAGGAACCAAGTATAAGACATGGAAGTCACGTTATTGCATCTTGAAAGGCGCAGATTTTTATTATTTCAAGTCAAATAAAGTTAGTTATATAATATGAAAGTTGGATTTGTATTAATTTATTTAATTATTTTCCTATGTATATGCTTGTATTAAATGTATCATATATGTTTTATATGTGCTTTATGTATTATAGGATGTAAATAGTCCAAAAATTAAAGGACACATAGATCTTACGGGATATCGTATAATTCCTGATGAAAACATTTTACATGGAAAATATGGATTTAAATTGACTCATAATTCAATGCGAACGCATTATTTTGCACATGAAGATGTTGAAAAGATGAGAGGATGGATGAAGGCGATGATGAAAGCCACGATTTTAAGGAATAATGAAGGTAAAGTAGTGACAAATACAATTTTCTATTTAAATTTCAAATTTTGTTCTCAACAACATTGACATAAAATCTCACAAAATAGAACCTTATGGACTATTATTTTAGCACCCGTAATAAGTTCAAGCAATATTAATACGGTATCACTCGTAGAAGCATTTCAGATGGCCCCAAGACCACCACAACCTAGAAGACCATCGATATCCGCAGTAGCATCATTAGCAAAAATCTCGTCAACACCAACATCTTATACCAAGTCATCTACTATGGGACCACTAGAACCTTTAGTTAAGAATAAAATCATCTCACCAAAAATACGACCACAAATCAATAATAATAAAAAATTTTAAATAATTTCAAGGCTATATTCATATATTTACATATCTTTATTTTTTTTTACCTCAAAAGTAATTACATTTTACATTAATATAATATTAATATATTTTATATCTTACATATTATTAAATATTAGATTTATTAGATGACTTAGATGATTTTACTATAATTTTTATTATTTTAGTATTAATCACACATTTTGTATTATTTCTAGAAATTTTCTTTTATTTTTAACATAATTAGATTAATTAATAAAATACATCGAGCTTTATTGTGATACTTTGTTTATATAACTAGAATTTAATATGTATTTGTATTTTTATTATCACAGAAAAAATAAAATATCAATTATTATGTGATGTAGTCACATTGGTTACGGGAGGGAGAGATTTGTTTCAATAATTGATAGTCATTGCTTATATGTATATGAAATCACAAACTTCTTGTTTGAACCTAGCGCATTGACAATATGGAAAAACGTCTTGAGATAATATGGACAGCCAATTTAAAGGATTAAAGATTATATTATAAGGATTGTTACTTACTCCACAATTGGTGTGGTGTAATGTTCCAATTAATCACATAATTTACATAATTTACAACTATACATGAAACAGTTTACATTACTAATTTGTAACATCAATACCAGATGCGTTATATGTTAAATATTTAAGGGTATTACCTTAGGTATGTTATTCATTAACAAAGATCAGTTTACGATATCCTACCAAAAAAAAAAAAAATAGAATATTTTACCTTACCATTTGACAACCTGTTATTATTAATTTTTGAAAACGTGTTTGAAAGTCCGAAATTCACTCAACAAAATTCTGGAGTGTTACACGACACATAATCATCACGCAAAAAAAGTTTAAATTTTCCCCATAAAATAATATATATATATTGATACTAATTAAGACAGATGTAATGTTACATTTCTTCTTTTAAAAAAAATAATGTCTTCATATACATCAAAGGATTTTGATAATTTGCGTTATTTTTTAGAACATGATAACCATGATAATCGAAAAGAAATGCTTGAATTCATTGCTAAAGATCCTATATATATTCCACGCTATAATGTATCATTAGAATTTGAGCGAGAAATTGCATTACAAAGATTAAAAAAAATTGCTGATAAAGGTTTTATTTCTGTTTTTGATTTTGAGAAAAATCCTTTAAATATCTTCGCTGGTAAGCTGAAAATTTTGTCAATTCATTGCATGAAATTATTGCATGAAATTATTAAGGCTTGGCAATATTAATCTTTTTAATTATATTACTTTTTTATTTAAATTTTATTAAGTACATGAAATTGCTGGTATGGTGGATGGTTCTATGGGAACAAAGGTAAACAAATTTTGCATGAAAAAAGAATATTCTTACTAATAAAATTTCTAATAATTTTAATAATTTTGTTATAATAATCTCTAAAAAATTTAGATGACTGTTCAATGGAATCTTTTCGGGGGAACAATGATTAAACTTGGGACTGAACGTCATCGTAGTATTCTTTCGGGAATCGATAATCTCAATGATATTGGTTGTTTTGCTCTAACTGAATTGGGATATGGAAATAATGCTGTAGAGATGGAAACGACAGCTATTTACGACGAAAAGAAGCACGAATTCATTATCAATACTCCTACCACTCTAGCTCAAAAGTATTGGATAACGAATGTAAGTATTGAAATTATCAAAATATATAATAATTTATATAAAGTATTAAAATTAATCATTCTTTAATTCTTTTTTGATATTGATATTGATTTTTAGTCTGCAGTTCATGCTAAATGGGCAATTGTCTTTGCTCAAACCATAATTCGAGGAAGGAATGAAGGTATCCATGCTATTCTCGTCAGGATTCGCGAAGAAAAGTATGATTTTATCTCTTATTTCTCTTTCCTTGTATGTTGACTTATACGTATTCACTTATATTTGAATAGTATGAAGCCTTGTGAAGGAGTCGTTATTGAAGATATGGGAGTAAAATTTGAATGTAACGGTGTCGATAATGGTGCGTGCATTTAAAATTAAAAAAAAAAAAAAGTTATTTGTATTAAGAATTAACAAAAAAATAATCATGTTATCATAAATTTTTAAATTCTATAAATCTATAATATTGTAATACAAGGCAAATTATGGTTCAAAAATGTAAGCATTAACAATCTTTTTTGTTTTTTGTCTATATAACAACTTTTTTTTGACATTTTTATCATATTAATTCAATTGATTAGGTAAGAGTTCCCGTAATTAATCTTTTGAATCGATATTCTGATATTGATGCAAACAATAATTTTACAAGTGTTATTGAAAGTCGTCGTGGGTAAGGTCTTATCGTATATGATATTGATATTTGAAATTCATCTTTTTTTATTTAAAAATTTTTTATAAATTATTATTTCATTTTAGACGATTTCTTAAAGTCGCAAATCAGTTGTTATCAGGAAGACTGGCCATTGCATCACTAAATTTAGGAGGAACTAAAAGTAATAAAAATCATTAAAGATTAATCTATTTTTTTTAAAAAAATAATAATAATAATAATAATAATAATAAATGTAAAGTTAATTGATTTTATATATCTCTTAAAGCATGTTTATCTATTGCATTCCGTTATGCAAATTCTAGGCTTACAGTTGGACCAACCGGAAAAAGGTAAAAGTATTTGTATATTTCTATTTCGAGTTGTCAATTATTAATCTTCTTACTTTTTTTTTTAGTGATACACCGATTTTTGCATATCAACTTCAACAACGAGCGTTATTGCCACTTTTAGCTTCAACTATTGCCTTAAACATTGGATTAAATTACTGTAAAGTTAGATGGGCTAAATGTGTAAATATTTTTTAATCCTTTATTTTGAGATATTTGACTCTTCTTGTACAAATATTCGTAAATTTGTAATTTAATTAATTCTATGTAATTTTTAATTATATTAGACTGAGAAAGATACCAACGAAATTGTTAGGCTTTGTTGTGTGATTAAACCTTTGATCACCTGGAATCTTGAACGGGTAGCTACTACATGTAGAGAAAGATGTGGAGGTCAAGGTTATTTAAGTATTAATAGATTTGGTAGTTTTATTGGATTTTCTCATGCCGGAATGACAGCTGAAGGAGACAATAGTGTTTTAATGCAAAAAGGTATTTTGTTTTTGTTTTTCTGTTATATTTTATTATGCCGTGCTATTATATTTTATATTTGATATTCAAAAAAATTTTTCAAATTCATCTTATTATAGTTGCTAAAGAATTGTTATCGGATGTTCAATCTGGAGAATATAGATTGCCTGAAGTTCCCGACATTCAGAATGCTTTAAAATGGAATGTAGCTAGTTTAGAGAATCAATTAAAAATGTTTAGATCCAGAGAACAAATTTTAATAAAAGAGGTTTCAATTTTCATTCACTTTGATTTGTCTTTTAGAATGTTCTTAAATGAAAATGAACTTATAAAATTATTTTCTCAAATAATAATTTACAGTTAGAAACAAGTATGAAAAACAAAACAGCTTCTAATGTATCAATTTTTGAAATTTGGATGTTACAAGAATCAGATACAATTCAGGCTTTAGCAAAATCTCATGGTGAAAGGATTATTTTAGAGCAACTAGTTATTGCCATTGATAAACTAAAAGGTGGTACAAAGTTAGTAGTCCAGAAATTTCATTTATATTGTCAATCTTTTGTTGATATTTTTCTTTCATTGATATGGGAGATTATTAACATATTTTAACATTAATTTTACTCAATAGACAATTGCTTACTTCTATTAGTCAACTTTATGCACTTTCTTTAATTGATATAAATCTTGGATGGTATATTACTCACCATCTTATTTCAATTGAGTCTGCTACTAGAGTACCAAATTTGATTAGAGAAATGGTTGCAAATTTATCACCTTTAAGTTTCAAAATTGTTGATTCATTGGGAGTAAACCCAGATATTCTTTATGCACCAATTGCTCATAATTGGAATAAATTCAATGAGATTGATAATAAAGGTATAAATTTCTATTCATTTTATATATAATTTTTCTTCATTTTGTGTGTCTCTGGAAAATAATTTTTAATATACCTGAATTTGATTTCTAGGTGAACTGGTGAGTGATTCATTTGTGGGAATGAAGAGCAAAATATAAATAATGAATAAATGATTTTGAACTATTTTTGAAATTTTAATTATTATATTTATTTGTATTATTATTTAAAACATATATGAGTTATTTAAAATATTTGTTAATTTACTCATAATGTAATTCATGTGATAATGTGTTCAGAGTTCACATTCTGTACCTTGCTATATGTAGTATTGGAGTTTTAATTAAAGTATAATTACATATTCAAATATAAGATTGATAACTGATGATACTAAAATTATGTAATTAATAAGGAATTATACATGTATTATATTATGAAATGTTTTAGAAGGATATCTTGATATATAAGAATATCATATATGTAGAAATTTTAATTAAAGGTAAAATTTTAAATTTTCAGATAAATATCATTTCATATCAAATTCAGAACTCCAAACGGCAACTCGTTAACTTGCATGGGACACGCATAATATAATATTTAGTCATTTTTAATTAATAGATTAATCAGCAGATATACGAAAAAACAATATATACAAAAAAACAATATATAAAAAAATGAAATTCTATTTTCTTTACTTTATAATATTTTAAATATTACAAATATTTTTAATAATATTATAAAAATAATAGCAAAAAAAAAAAAATAGAATAGTTCAAATATTTCAAATATTTCTAATATTAATGTTATTAAAAAATAATAATAGCAATTTTTAAATAAATATTGCCAAAATTATTAAAAATACAATAAATTAATTTAGGATTTGAGATGAACTATAGTAATTTGGGATTTGAGATTTAGCATTTGAATTTGGATAACAAGTATATTTATTTTATCAATAATTTGCAATATCAGAATCAAATTTATATTACTTGCATTAACAAATTTGTTATTAGTTGTATAGTCCTCCACTTCAGATAGTTTTCTAAATCTGACACTTCTCTTTCAATCTTATTTAATGAATTAAGTAATTAATTTAACATCTTTACACACAAGTGGAATCTTCATCTATATAAATTATATAAATAAGTATATATATAATTAAAATATTTCAAAGTATTTTGAAATATTACCATCTAATTCTATTTCTTTTATGTCTGAAGTTGTTCTGTTGTTTGTGATGATGATTTAACTATTGTTTGTTGTTGTCCGAATTCAGAAAGGAAATATTGACAATATTAACAAAGAATGTAGGAGTTTTTGAGTGAAGGCAAATAATAAAGATTTAATAACAATTTAATAACACAACAATGAATTACATAAAATTATTCACTTCAGTTTATATGCAAAGAATAACTTTATTAAATGTTAAGAAAAGATATATCTGCCTGACTACAGGAAGAAAAATTACTTTTTCTTTTAAGTATCAGAATAGTTAGACATTGGACTTTAAGTTATCAAATAACTACTTTTTAAGTTACTATGCAATGCTTTTGTCATCAAAGTGAATCTTAAGTTATCACTTTGCACCCTTAGGTAGTACCTTAATGATATATTATTTAATTTAAAAAATAATTATACAAAATAAATAGTTAAATATAAAATAATAGTAATAATAAAATAAAATAACTAATCAAAAGGATTAGTTGCACATATAGAAATATTCTAACAAGGAGATCTTCTAGTTTAGAACAAATTTAAAAGGTAATATTTTGACATTTGTTACAGGATCATTGATAGGAGGTACATATTTAATTATTCCAATTAAAATGACCATGATTATTATACCAACAATAGTTGATATATAAAACCTGATACAAAAGAATATTGAAAAAAGGTGACCAATTTGCCAATATTTACTGAGTCCAAAATTGAATCTGTAAAAGTTATTGATGAACCATACAAAAAAAATAGTAATATATATAGTAATGAAATAAAATAAAGAATGCAATAATTTTTTGGATCTCAATATAAAACAAATATGAAAGTAAAATAAAAAGAAATTTGAATAAATCAATTTTAGATTTAAAGGATAAACCTGATCTAAACTAGATTTTGAAAACATTTCTTAAAGTTGATATAAACAAATAAGAAATTTAGCTTAAAATGTCTGTGGTGATAATAGAATTTTGACATAATTGAGATTCCAAGGTCTGGTTTGGATTGGAAATAACTTGGTATACCACCATATTGTAAAAAATATTGACTGTTTTTCTTAATGAAAGTGATTGAAATATTGAGATGAGATATTTGATAGAAATATAATATGAAGCTATATTTTCTTTACAATAAAGTTATTTAATGACTTTCTGATAACAATTCTTATTTTTATGATCTAAAATGTAAATGTCCATTGTATTTTGATTTTTCATCTTGAAGATCAAAAAGTTGATGTTGAAATAATTTATTAAATCTTCATATTTTTCAATATAAAGACAATATTCTAGTTAATCAAGAACTTTACTGTGAGAAGTGAAGGCAAAGCAGATTAAATCTATTAAATATGCTTTGACAATAAAATATATTTTCTGACATGATAATGAAATTTATATAAAAATAAATTCAAAAAATTGATTGTTTTTGTATCTGAATTAGTTCATATGAGTAAATTTGAGTTATTACTTCATTTCAAAAATCAAGTTTTGATCAAAAAAGAGAAATAAGCCTTGATGTTATTTTAAAGGAATTTTTTGTGGTGTGAATTTTTTTTTGTATTATTGTTTGTTAGAATAAGTTACACGTGCTGATACGAAATAAACGAAATAAAAAGTAGAAAATGTGAATATGAATAAGTGATTTTAATTATTTAATTTGATCGAAGAAAGACATAATAAAAATTGATCTCAGGTAAATTTATCAATAACGATATTCGTTTATCTACTTATTAGATGAAACAATGATCGATAAACTCAAAAAAAAAAAGCACAACTAATAATAAAATAATGTCAAAGCCATCACCCTCTGACCAAAACAAGCAAGATTTATTTGAAAAACGAACTAGACAAACCAATCCATAACCGGCGAAATATTCAATCGAAAGACCAGCGGATAGAATTAACAAGAATTAAATAATGCTAGACAAGAATTTATAAGTTTCTGATCAAGAATTAACAAGTAAAATTTTGATCTTATCTAACTATTATTATCACACTCTTTATCAATAATTTCAATTTAATTTGAGATGAAATATGATAATTTACAGATTTATTGAAAAATGCTTATTAAAAATCTAATAGTGTTTTGATTATATTACAATATTATCTGTTATTTATTAAATATGGTATAAATTTAAAAAAAAAAATTTATTCAAAACGATCTCTCTTTTTTTGTGCCCAAAATCTATAAAATTTCGTCTCGACGCTATCTATTATCGTTTCATTTTCTACAATAGCCCACAACTTTTTATATTCATCATATGTTATTCCCATATGGTCAGCCACCATTTCAATACAAACATCATTAAACCAACTGGCAAAATTATCAAATGTAGTAGTACCAATAAATCCACCTTTTTTCCCGAAAATTACGGATTTAACGGCGCATTGAATATCGTCCACTTGTTTTGTTGTATAAAGTAAGTATTCAAGTTTTGTATTAATTGCACCATTAACACCTCGTAATACTAGACATTCTAAAACTGTAGTAAAAAATTAATAATTAAAAAAAAAGAAGTACGAATAATGAAATAAATGTTACACATTTAATGTTAAATTTTTCTTACAACTTTTAAGAAATTTAGAAAAAGTAGGAGCATTCTCCGGTGATGTAAGGTCCGCCTCACAAAATTCTATCCAACCTCCAGGTTTTGTTACTCTAAAAAAAAGAATTTATTAATATCACGATTATATGCTGGTAAATAAATTTTATTATAAATAGATACTCAATTACCTTATCATCTCGGCGATACTTTGTTCCCATTCGTTATCTGTGAATTCCGACACGAAATCGGACATCCTCACAAAATCAAATTGACTCTCGTCGTAAGGTAAATTTAATAAATTACCTTTTGTTATTTTTATGTTGGATGGATAAGGTATAGTTGAACAAGGATTTAAATCTATGCCAAAGTATTCAGGTTTTGGATACATATGTGCCTTTTCAATATTTAGATTTGTATATATGTTAATTTATGATATGAAAATTAGTCAAGAAATAATATATTTATATTTTTTTTTTCAATTATTATTTACCATCTCAATTAGCCATGTTCCAGATCCGCATCTTTTTTTTTTCAAAAAAAAAAAAAAAAAAAAAAGTCCAAATTCTCAAATTAAAACTAATACCATACATATAAAAAAATCATCTAAACTTTCATTTCATAGTAAATATATACAAACCCAACATCCAAAATTTTTCCAGTCATTGTTAAAAATTCTTCTATGGGCGACGAGTATGCGCACCCAAACAATTTATTCATGGCAATATTATGAGCAATACTTCGACTGATATCTGATTCTTTAGGAATATAAATATTCGAAGTAGAAGTAATACTACCACAATCTGAGTTTGATTCAAAGGAACTAATACTATTTAATGATTGAATATTATGATTGCTTGATTTGTTTGATAGTGATCTAGCTCTACTTTTCTTTTTTCGTAACTTTTTTTCTGCCATCAAACGTCTTGATGCGTTGTTTCCCATTTTTATTAATTTTTCTATTGCTAATTGAAAATTTATTGGCTTTATTAGTTTTAATTAATTAATTAATATAAATATTATTTATTTATTTATTTATTTATTTATTTATTTATTTATTTATTTCGATATTAGATTATTTATTTAATAATTATGATTTGGTAATTTATAGTATATTATGCTAGAGAACATAATTTAAATTTTTCATAAAAGCCTATTTACAATTTAATAAAGAAAAAAATTTTGAAAATAAAAATTGGTGAAAAAAATACATAGTATCTTTATATAATATCCAGCAGTTTCACAACATTTAATATTAAATGATAATATAAAAAATTTAACCTTTTACACAGCATAAAACATATATTTGCCTTTTACAAATTTATCGAAACAATCTGATTTGCACAAATCAGGGCGAGACTTGGCAGAATTAATAATCTTCGTTGACATTCAATATAATCATAAATGGTTAAGATCGATTTTGAATAACTATTTGAGTCTAATCGGAAAATTATGTGTATATTATATGAAATTTTATTTTGATTAAAGTTTTATATGATGAAATTTGCCGCATAAATGTACATTTTATCATCAGTAATGCGCGTGTAAACTCAATTTGTGTATTTCACAATAATTATTTATAATCATATAGGTTGGGAAGAGTTACGAAGGTTATAAGTGTGTATTTTATTAATATTTTAGTCATACGATGCGATAAATTTTTTAACTAATTAACATGAATGTAGATAAACATAATAATAGAAAAGTGTATTAAATAAAGTAATTAAATAAATAACTTATTAGATATTATTAAAAGCGCGTTGGAATCTAAGGATATCAATATACTAAACCAAAAAGTAATGGTATAATTACATAATTCGAAGAGCATTCATTCAACTACTCTTATTAAGGTATAGTAAATCTTATACCCGGAAGTAAAATAATTTGAACTCCTCGTTGATGATATAAAAATAGTACAAAATTTCAATCTTTTTACCAATTTAATAATTAATGAATGCAATGAATCTAAATACACTATGGTATTTCTATAAAATATAAATTTATATTACTGATTATAAAAAATACCAAAACGAGTTAGAATTATCATTAGAATTATAAATCATAAATTAAAAAATTATGAAATAAACACAAATCTGTATAAAATAAACTAAGATGTAGGGGAATTCCTTGGGGTGAAGTTCACAAAAATCACTGCACGTACTATAAACAAATATGAATAAACAATTTTTGAGAAACATAATAAATATCTTTTCCAAAAGGAAATTTCCTAGTAGGGATTTACTCCGAAAAAAAAAAAACGCTTTAATAAAATTCCCACGAAGTAATCCAATAATTGAGATGTTAATTTTTTTTTTTTTTTTTTGTGTTAAAGAACTTTCTTGTTTACCTACAATAATCTACATTCATAAAATAATGCTTACGTAATGAACACAAACCCTTCATCAAGGTCAAGAATAGTATGCGATCATCACATCAAAAGTTGGTTTTGTTTGTCTAATTCCTATAAATTCCTATAAATTCCTATAACACAGCACATAATTATTAAAGTTTATCTTGAAATGGATTGATAATACTAAGTAATTATATTTACTATATTGTTATAATTCATTTCTAATATAAAAATAAAAAATTATACAATATAATCAAATATTTTGTAACAAAATAGGTATTCCTCTGTTACATTCATGAATATAAAGGAACATATAAAATTTTTATTGCCCATTTCGATTATGAGTTATCGTCTAAGTACAATAAGAATTATTCAGGATATTGTATTTCATGTAACAACGAAAACAATATAATAACAGGTTCGATGTAAATCATCACAATTTTAACATTTAATATTAAAGAATCTTTCGAGTTAGTTAATTAATTATTAATTTTTATTTGAAACATTAATTTATATATTTATATATGTTTCATAAATCTTTATTTATTAAAAACTAGAATTATTGTAATTTTTAATTTAATAAAATTGTTATAATTACCAACTAGTTAATCTAATTCTTTGATCCTCTAGTAAAAGAGTTTGATCATAATTATTTTTTTTCACCGCATAATCTGAAACTCTATGAATGTAATTTCTCTTTCACTGTATTATATATCACAATCCATTAGGAATTTATTACTTTTAAGTATTCATTCTTGGAAAGAAATATAACATAATATAATTTCTTGATTATAAAAACACAGCAAATTGTTTTTGTCAAAGACAGAACAAATATTATTAATATTTCAATCATCAGTATCAAAATCTTTGCCAATAAATTTTTATTCTAACATGTAAATATATATTACAGTATTAAGACTAGGATAATTTCTTAATCTCCTCTTGAATTGAACAAGTATTAATAAAATTCAAGATTTTGATAACCCAAATAATTAAAAACTTATTGATAATACCACATTGTACTGTATATACACAAAATAAATATCAAATAGCGTGACTTTTGTGATGATAATGGTTTCCACCACTGGGCATTGATAGTTAGGTTGGATATCAAGAAAAATGCGAAATTATAAAAAACAATCATAGGAAAAATTGGTATTCTCTTTTCTCAACAAATCTAATTCAAATTGCATGTTTGATAATAATTTTTATATAAGATATTTAAATTCTCAAGTTAAAAAGTGAATGTGTTTTTATTAAATGACCAGGGTTGTAGCCATGAACTAGCATCGTTAAATGACACCAAATTTTTTATTCTCCCCACACCACCGCATACAGACATTAAAAACAATAATCATAGAACCATTTCGATATTCCAAAATGAAATCAATCAACAAAATGCTCTTATCCAAAGCATGAATAGGAGAGGATCTGATCAACAAAGTAAGTTGTCAACACCCTCTGCCCATTCGATCATCTTCAAATTTCTCTGCTTCTTCTGGATGAAATCAATATACCAACATTACCTCAACTATCTGGGAGCCACTTTAAAGATATTTAATATTATTTTAAGGTAATATTGAACTTTATTTTTAAAGTAATCTTGAATTTTATTTTAAGGTAATCTTGAGTTTTATTTATTTTATACATTTGAGTTTAATTTTTAGAATATAAAGATACTTGTGTATATTATTATATAATTGTAAGTTTGTTCGAGTTTTTTTTAATATATTCTTGAATTTTAAATTAATTATAACTCTATTTATTTAAAGTTTTATTTTTTCTAGAATTTTATCTACTTTAAGATTAATATTATTTATATGAATATTTTTTAAGCTTTATTTTATTTCATGAGTTTTAATTTATTTTTTTTATTTCAGAATATATGAGCATTATTTAAAGTAATTATTTTATATTTTTAATTTATTTCTTGAGTTTATTTTTTAATTTAATTAATTTAACTTTATTTTTTATTTATTTTAAATAGATTCAAGTAAATATACTAGTAAAATATATAGTTTATAATATTAAAAAAAATATGTAATATTTAATAAATATAAAAAATAATTAAATTATATTTAATCTGAAATACATATTTTATATTGTATTTTATACTTAATTTATTCTTATTTTAACTAATAATTATAATTACAATATACTTAAAATATTATAATTCTATTCTTATTTTAACTAATAATATATAATATATAATTAAAATATACTTAAAACATTATAATTTTATTCTTATATATGTATTTGAATAAGAAAATTAACACATACTTAAAAAAAATTATATATACTTAAAATAAATTAGACATTTAATATTTTAAATCTACTATTCTATTATAGATTGACAGCATATTAGCAATTGTGAAAACAAATTAAGAGCATATAACATAAAACTGCTCAATAATGAACTTCCTATCTTGAAAAAATTAAAGAATGGGTTCCCTTCTGTCTATAGTATACATGTTTCCAAAATTAATTTTGGATTTTTGAGGTATTTCGACTTTTTGAGATTTATGCAGAATCTATTCTATATATAGAAGTAAAAAAAGTATCCAGTTATGTGTATATTCAATCAAAGAATAAATCTGGAAAGTTAAAAAATTTTGGATTTTAAGTAAAATAATTTTGTCTTCTATGAAAAACTATTTTAACTTTTTTCTCTGAAATTGCAATTTCAGAATTTCAAAATAATTTTGTGTGCAAGTATAGTTTATAGTAATGATATTTGCATATAATGCAACCTCATCCAAGAAAATCAATCACATGTGTTTACATGTTCAGAAAATTCTATAGAAATAAACATGTACAAACATAGTTTTATAAATACTTTGGTTAATAAAATTACTAATATAGCAAAAAACAAAAAAGACAACAATCTCCATGCTAAATTTTGCGAATTGACAGAACTTGAACTATTGTTAGATATCTCTGTTCAAGACCCTAATGAATTTTCTTTTGTGGATCTCATTTTGGATTTAATATCACCTTTTTAATTAATAGAATTCAATCAATTGTTAAAAAACCAAATATAGTTAAACAAATAATTGACGAATATCTTGCAGTTTTCAAAACTTTTATATACAAAAATATTAGGATACCTAGATGCAACATGGTTAGAAACTGGAAAAAATCAGTGAGCATTAAAAATAATAAACAAAAAAAAAAGTATTAATAACTTCAGTCATAGGAATACAAATTTCTGATATAAATAATAATAATACTAATTTGAGACCAATAAATAGGGATAATAGGTTGCAGCTTGTTAATATTATTAATAGGCATATACACAGTGTTATTAAGTATGGTATAAATTGAATTAGTCTATATAATATAGGTTATTTGACAAGGCCTTAACATGCTGAAGATAATTTCTATTGTCAGATGGTAGATTGTAAACTTGTTTCTGTTTATCTTCAGATAGATATTAAATTAGTCTAAATCTTATTTTTTAATAGTTATTAGTAAAGTTGTTAATGGAACATAATAAGTTAGGTTGAGCTCATGTTATAGTAAAGCAAGGGTCAACTTAACCTAACTTATATCAGTAATTATATTAATTCAAAAACTTTTGAAATTATATTGTAAC